CTTCTTTCTTAGTCTATCTCTGTCTCTCTTTACTCCTCACACACATACATCCCTACCTCTACACATAGTTTTTTAATTTATGAAGGAGCCAAGTAGAGTGAAGGAAACAGACTAATAGCAAAAAACAATGAATTAATATTCAGTTCCAGCTGCATTACCAGTTAACTGTGGTGTCCTAAAATGAATGATTTATTTTCATCTTTCTCAGTGACATTCTCTATGAAATGGGAGATCATACATAATCAATAAGTCTATCGTCTGGGTTGTTTAAAATGAGTTAAATTTGTCTTGAATACTATATGAAAGGTTATACCATTAAAAGGGTAGTAAATGAGAGGCCTACACCCACTTAGGAATCTATTATACCACAATGTAGAAATTTGAGGGTGAGTCATTAAAATGCATAAATTTGGGGCCAGCAGATGGCTTGGTGGGTAACTCTGAATTGGAAAGTTTTATGAACAGTTTTATCCACCAGTATCTGGTAGTAGTAATTTCTTTTATTCAAACGTGTGTGTATATAAGTTTTTTTAAATGAGGAAATTGGAAATGTAATCAGATTTTATATTTAGTCTTATTCAATGGCAACTGCTAACTGCATAGCGTAAGGAGGACTTTGAGGAAATAAAAAGGTGTTTGGAAAAATGCAGATGTCATTGTTTTATGTTGTGCTGACGTGGTGGCAAGCCTCCAAGATGGCCCTCAGTGATTCTTACATCCTGGTATTCCCATCTTATAGCTGGTCTATGTAACCCATAGGATATTATGAAAACGATGGCATGATCTATAATCCAAATGTTTGGGTCCCCCCACCAAATTACTACCTTGAAATCTTTTTTTTGTTTTGTTTTTATTCTTTCTTTGGAGAGGTTTTTGCTATAGGGCGCTTGCGCTCACCAGACAGACAGAGAGACAGAAAGCGAGAAATCACCCCCCAGGGGGGATGGCCACGCCACAATCCTTTCTCCTCCATTCTCCTCTTGGGATCTTGGGCACGCACGCACACGCGCCTGGTGTGAGTTTTAAGCCACCAGGTCTGGGACTCGAACCGTGGTCGACTACGTGGGAGTCCAGCGACATAGCCATTACGCTAACTGCTGGTCCCACTACCTTGAAATCTTCATCCTCAAGGTGATAGTATTAATAGGTGGAACCATTAGGAAGTGATTAGGTCACGAGGGAAGAGCCTTCATACATGACATTAGTGCCATTCTAACAAAGGCCTGAGGGAACCTCTTCTCTTCTTCTACCATGTGAAGATGCAGCAAGAAGGTACCATTTTTGAAAAATAGGCTCTTGCCAGACATTGATTCTGGTGGGGCTTTGATTTTTAACTTTTTATCCTCTAGAACTATGAATAATAAATCTTCATTGCTTATAAATTATATGGTCTAAGTTATTTTGTTTTAACAACATGAATGGACTAAGAGTATTAGTTCTGAGACTAAGTCATGAAAAATTCTGTGTATTGTGCGTTTGGCCTCTTTGATCACTTGCTCTAGAAAAAGTCATCCATCATGTCATAAGACACTTAAGCAGCCCTACAAAAAAGAGTTCATGTGAGAAATGGACATCTTTTGCCAACAGCTAGTACCATGTGAATGAGCCATGTTGAAAGAGCCTCCCTTAGCCCAGTTAACTGCCTCTCTTAGCTCAGATAACTGCAGCCCTGACTGACTCCATAATACTCTGAGCCGAAACCATCCAATTAAGCTACTCCTGAATTCCTGACCTACAGAAACTGAGAGAAAATGTTTATTGCCCTGTAATTTATTAAATTTTAAGATACAAAGCTCTGAGGAATTTGTTGCACAGCAATATACAACTACCAATACAAATGGATAGAAAAGATGGGACCAGCAGTTAGCGTAATGGCTATGTCGCTGGACTCCCATGTAGTTGACCGTGGTTTGCATCCCGGACCAGGTGGCTTAAAACTCACGTCGGGCGCATGTGCGTGCGTGCCCAAGATCCCGGGAGGAGAATGGAGGAGAAGGGATTAGGGGTGGCCATCCCCCCTGGGGGGTGATTTCTCGCTTTCTGTCTCGTCTGTCTGTCTGTCGAGCATGCGTGCCCAATAGCAAAAACCTCTCAAAAAAAAAAAAAAAAAAAAAGGATAGAAAGGAGGAATGAAGAGGAAAGGCCCTTCATTCTGGGCCTGGACCTGTTCTAGGGTAGGACAAGTGCTAGGCTCATTCTTGCTTTTGAACACCACTCACCACAAAACAGGGTTGTCAGAGAGAGTGACAGTAAAGCAGGGCAACATGTCCCCTTTTCTCCTCATGCTCCTTTATTTTTAGAGGAAGACTACAGGATGACATTGACAACTCATACAGATTTTGTTTTTGACTCCACAGTGTCCCCTTGGGAATAGATGCATTGATCTTTGTCCATTTGTGATGAAGTTCAAGGTCCGTGAGAGCAGGCCTTGGATCTTACTTCAATCTCCATTGCCTAGCAGGTGAATAAATGTGGATAATAAATGGCATCAAAGGGTGGGTAAATTTTTCTCCTTCCTTCTGAATTTTGAAGGGATTCTATTCTTAGAGTAGTTCCTACTGGAACCATTCCATTCACAGTTCATCAGTGAAGTCTTGAGGATAATAATAGGCATGCCATCAGCTGTTTTCACTATTAACTAATCCCTACCCCTTGTTAAGCTGCTTACTTTTAGAACTCCCCACCACCCCTGTTGGCTCTTCTGCCCCATTTCCTCTATGCAATGTTGTTTTAACTGTAGCTCAAGGTCTCAGGACCCTTCATCCAGGAAAGCATGGCCATATAGACCAACATATTACAGTTGGGTTGTCTAAAATCTTAAGAGGAAAGAGCCCAGGCCACTTAGAAGACCTGAGTTCTAGGTTGCGCTGTCACCCATTAGCCTTTATATCTTTGGGCAAGGTACTTTAAAACAAAATTTATTTAATTCCATTTGTTATTATTATTAATTTGATCAGAGAGAGAGAGAGAAAGGGAAAGCAAGAAAGCAAGTCTCCAGGTTCTGGACAGGAAGGGCAGTCAGTCACGTGGGAGTCCAGCGCCGTAACCATTGCCACCTGCCCACCCCTCCGCCCCCATCCCCCAGCAAGTTACTTTCCCTTTCTGTACCAGTTTGTTTATTTTCTCATATTTTATTTTTATTTTTTAATTTGCTAAAGTGTGCATGTGCTGGCCAGAGAGAGAGAGAGAGAGAGAGAGAGAGAGTGAGTGAGTTTGGTGTTCTCCTTCCCCTCCCAGGAGGGATGGCCACACCACAATCCCTTCTGCTAGCAGTTGGGGCATGCATGCGCTCACAGGACAGGAGTGGTTTACAAGTCACTAGGTTTGAGTCCCACACTGGGTCATGTGGGGTCCAGCCGCCTTAACCGCTTCCACCTGCTGGCCTAGGACCTCAGTTTATCTCAAACGGAGACAGTGACTCTAGATGAGTTCAGAAGTCCTTGGGTTCTTGCCAGTTGGGATTCCAAGGTGCAGCCCAAGGTGAAATCCAGCGGCCAGCACTCCTCAGAGTAGCTGTTCCAAGGGCACACGTTTCCTCGGACTTCCCTTTATTATCTAATGCAGGTAGCTTTAGTGAAAGGGATTACTGGGAAGAACCTTCCAGTTTGGAGCGAAACGCTCCCCAAGTTTCCAGTTCTGTTACTAACTCGAGTTAGGCAAATTCTTCTCGCTGGACCTCAGAGCAGGGAGGTCTCTGTTGCCCAGAAGAGATGTGAAGACCTGGGCAATGACCTGGAGTGCTTTCCAAGACTGCCCTTCAACCACCGAGGTGAATCAGCCCAGAGCAAGAGCCCCTTCTGCCTGCTGCCCCGCTCTAAGGTGCACCAGGAACTTACACAGCCTCGCCCACTGCGGGCGGATCGGCTACGGGGGAGGCTACAGGTGAGTTCTTAAAGGGGCCGCCAGAGCTTGGGTAGCGAAGCAGGTAAGAGGCTGGGGCGGATACGGAGGCTCCAGGGAATGAACGAATGAATGAGAGAATGAACGAACAAACCTTCTCTCCCGTCCTAACACACATTCTTACTAGGAACTAATCCCTTAGATTTAAAAATCATCTACTAGAACCCTCAAACTCTTACAAGTTAGCCAGTCTCCCTAACTTTCCCGCCCTTTTAAGAGGAAAACCCCTCAAACCTGCTGGGAGACAAACGGTAACTTTTAAGACCAGGACCCAGTGCAAAGCCCGGTAGAGACGGCCTCGGCCCCCGCCCGGACGCCTTCTTTCCCCAAGTCCCGCCCGCTCCTGCCCCCGAACGCGGGTGTCGCTGTCGGCTCTATAAGTTCACTTTCCCGGGCGGGGACCCACCCCCGAGGGCAGCGGGCTCCTCTCCGACCGTGGAGCTGGCGGCCGCTCGTGTTTAGAGAGGTTAGGGGTCTCGGAAGGCGTGTCTCGGGTCTAGTGTGGGTGAGGACACGTCTGTCTTCGGACACCCGGACCCTCCGGGGCTCGGCGCGCTGCTAGCTCCGAACTGGGGACACGCCGGGCTAGGGCGAGGTAAAGGCGGGCTCTCCAGGGCCACCCCGGCCCACCTGTAGCGTCTGTGTGTCCGCTCCTTTGTCCTCGGAGCCACCTCGGTGGTCGCCCATGGCCGTGAGCAGGGGCCCCTGGGATGCTCGCCGGGTGCCCCTCGGGCCCCCCAGCCGCCTGGCTGCCCTCCTCCCCGCTCCACCCCGAAGGTAGCTGCTCCGAGAGCCCAGAGCGGCGCGAGCCGCCTCCTCACTTCCTGAGAGCGCTGGGAACGCGGTCACGTGGGGGCGCGGCCGTCCAGCTCCGGGGCCGCCATCTTGGCGGAAAGTTTGGGGGGATAGCGACACGGGGCGCGGAAGGAGGCGAGGTTCCGGGGGGGGGGCAGGCCGGGGGGG